TACATAACCTTAATACATACATAGTATATCTTCATATACATAACCTTGTAATGAAGTAGCCACTGGGATCCATTTAAGGTAAATCCAGTTTGGTGACAGTTTGTAAAATCTGCCCATTAAAACGAAGGAGAGTGATGAGTTCAGTGAACCTTCCTGAGCGTCAGGGAACAAAGAAACATCTTTAAACAGCGGAAACTGTGAACACACGCAAAGGACGACAGTTTGAAAAGAATATTTAACTAAAGCACAAAACCATATTTTTTATTTTTGAATAAAACGCCTCTCTGTAAGTTTTCTTTATCTGATCTTATAAACTCCTGAGCAAAGCAATTTGTGAAAGATGCGTTTTCTAATTTTATTTCATTATAATGAATTCAATCTTTATCAACATTTTCCTGCGGGATCAATAAAGTTCTAGGTCAAATTTTAAATACTGAGGCCTATGACCTATAAGGTTTTAAAGTTATAACATTAATTAATTTGCATCGTTTATGTTCTTTGACTTATTTGAGATTTGACTAAACGTTATTTTATTTAAATAAAACTAGTCATATTTGTTCCCTGTCTGTTGTTGTTGATGATAAAACACATTTGATGGTGTTTTGCTGCCACCCAGTGGACATGTGTCGAATTACACCACATTCCTGTAAAATACAAATACTCAAATCTGAGAATACACGTGGAGCAATAAAAATAATAATTAAAAACCAGTGTTCTGAATGTTTCCCTCAAATAAGTAATACAATTGGAATTTATTTTAAATACTGTTTTTTGCCAGGGGGACATTATCTCGATGAGTTTAATAATTTGAACTTGTGAGGAAAAGTCAAAGCATCATTTTACGATTCAGGAGTTCACTCAGTTCAACAAAACTCTCATGTAATTAATAAATGTTGATTAGACACTGATGGTGGTCTTTACTGATCTGACAGAAAATCATTAATTAAAAAACAACCAACATTCATCTGGTGCATTCACAGAAGCAGTTTATTACCCTCATTTTATTCTAGTTAAAAAACAAAAGTTAATTTGTTATTCCTTCTGTTATTAAGCTGCAACTTTGTGTCTTCAAAGAAATAAAGAAATAAAGCAGATTAGAGAAAATTAGCCACATTATATGGTTTAATGTGGGGGTTTTTCTGGGTACGTTTATGATAATATTAAAAAAAGCAAATGTACTCCCAAAAAAACTGATCAACAACTATGAACAGTTTTTATTAGTTAAAAAAAAGATGAGTAAAAACAAGAAAAAGTACAAAAAGGAGGCATACGTTTCATTCTTTGACATTTTATACTAACACGTTTATTTCTTTTCAAATGAATGAAACATTTCTTTGTTTGTCCACAAATATAATTTATTTTGAAACAAATAAAATGAATGAAAAGTGAAACATTAATAGGAACCTGAATATTGAAGGATATTCAGCTTTTGTTAATGTTGTAAGTCAAAGTATTCATTTCTATTTTCACCAGAGAAATGTTACTTTAATTCTTTTACTCCCATCAGAACATTTTGTTTCATTAATCCTGAGGTCCATAAGTGCTGATCAAATTATGTGTTATTCTATTTTAATAAATACACAGATTTATCAACAAAGTCCTGGAAACAGCACAAAGAGACTCACGTGGGCTTATGTTGCTGTTCCTGACGTGGAGGAGCCGGGCCGAGCCGGGCCAGGCCGGGTCAGGCCGGGGGCCCGTGCATGGTGGGGGTGGTGGGGCACATGGGAGTTTAGCTGTGGGAATGTGCGGACGAGCGGAGCGTGGTCAGGGGGCAGGAGAGCGACTCAAGGACATGGATGAGAACTTGAACAGAACTTCTTGCAGATGTGGACAACTAATGGCCTGAGGACCAGAAGTGGCCCCCGGGCCATCTCCACTGGCCCCCGGGCTATCTCCGCTGGCCCCCGGGCCATCTCCGCTGGCCCCCCGGGCCATCTCCACTGGCCCCCGGGCCATCTCCACTGGCCCACGGGC